TAATTTTAGTTATATTATTTTTATTTTTATATTTTAATTTAAATTTAAAAGAAAATTAGTTTTTTTACCCACCCGCAATCGCCCGCAAACGCAAACGCTAGCTGAAACCAGCTTTTGATTTTAAGAGGTTGGGAGCGGTTTGAAGCGATTTGTAGCGGTTCTTGTGATTGTTGCAAAACGCTAGCAACCGCCATCAACCGCAAAAGCTGCGTTTGCGGGTGGTAGCGGGGAAACCAGTCGGACCCTTAGTTTTGATTGCATGTTTAGGCTTGATTGAGTGTTATTTTTGGGTTGTCTGGGTTAGTTATTAGGTTGCAGGTAGAGGCTGCCAACTCACTGAGTAACATTAGGTTACTCATCTAACTCCGTTGTCCTTTTTGTAGGTATCTTTAGATATGGATGACCGTGATAGCATGGAGCTGGACATTAGGACCACCGGAGTAGATTTTCATGCCTTTTGTATACGGTATTTTGGTTTTTGTTTAGTTGACTCGATTTGGCGTTAGGCCAGGACCAGTCTTGAATTATTTAATTGTATGAATATTTCTTGAATCAATAAAGTATTTGTTTTATATGCGCATCATGAGTACTCTGATATTTGACTAGCCCGGTCTAACACAACGTTAGGTCGTCGTACGGGTTGAAAAACCTTAGTCCTCGATCTAACGGCAACGCTAATTCTTGGTACGGGTTGCAAAGCCTTATGCCTTGATTTAGCGGGACGAGTTAGTGGATGAACTGGTCTAAGTCGTGGAGTAAATTTTGTGACTTTGACCAGATTGTCCCTAGCCCGTCACGTAGCGCTTCCGGACCATGGTGTTGGGTTGGACGGTCAGTCATGTTCTTGTTTGATTGTTGGCTGGCTGGTTAGCCTTTCATCTCCAACCCTGGGTGTTGTTCGGTCGATAGGTCATGTTCTTGTTTGATTGTTGGCTGGTTTATCGACCATATGTCTAGGACGGTTCGGGGGTGTTACACCCTCCCCCTCCGCGTTCAAGAACGAGTACATCTTAGTTGCAGTGGATTATGAGCCTAAGTGGGTTGAGGCACTGGCCAGTCCGACCAATATTGCTAAAGTGGTGATAGAGTTGATCAAAACTATCATCTTTCCAAGGTTTGGGATTCCAAGAGTAGTCATCAGTGATGGAGGGAGCCACTTCATAAATAAAGTTTTTGAAGGATTGTTGAAGAAGAATGGAGTCAAACACAAGGTTGCTACACCTTATCACCCTCAGACTAGCGGTCAGGTTGAAGTGTCAAACAGGGAAATTAAGAGCATCCTTCAAAAGACAGTGAACAACATGCGCAAAGACTGGTCGATCAAGCTGGATGATGCTCTCTTGGCTTATAGAACAGCCTACAAGAATGGGAACTACCCCCTACAACCTGGTCTATGGTGAAGCTGCTAAATTTCAACTTCAAATCAGCAGCAGAGAGGCGCTCAATTCAACTCCATGAGTGGGAACAGATCAAACATTTGGCTTATGCGAGCTCCAAAATATACAAGGAAAGGACAAAGGCATAACACGACAAGAGGATCACCAGTAGGAAATTCAGACCCAACGATCAGGTCCTGCTCTTTAACTCCAGGTTGAAGTTGTTCCCTGGAAAGCTGAGATCAAGGTGGTCTGAACCCTTCACAATCAAGGCAGTTTGGCCATGTGGAGCCGTCGTCTTTTTGGACACAAAAGGAGAGGATTTAGTTGTGAATGGTCAACGCTTAAAGCCATACCTCGCTGACACAACCATCGCTGAAGGGGAAAAAAATTCTTTAAGCAATCTATCCTCTGCCTAATCGGCTACCCAAGTCAGGTAGAGACTTTAACCAAGCGCTTGGTGGGAGGCAACCCACTGGTAAGTGAAAATACCTTTAAGATTTTTCTTTTGTTTATTTTTGATTTTGTTTCATTAAGTCTCAGATAAAGAAAGGAAAACTCGAGATACATCTGTTTAAAAATAGAGCACCCCCGAGGAGCAACCACACCTCCTTTGTACTATCCATTGCTTCTTATTATGATTAAGCTGACTTTAGGCTTATTCTCACACCAGAAACGGTGTGAAGTAAGTCTGGGGGAGGCACCTATGTGTTTCTGAACTCTATTTGTTAATGTTTTTCTTTATCGAGTCAGTTCTTGGATCGAGTCAGTCAAACTCTTGTGAGAATCAAGACCTTATTTTATGATGCTATCTAACCACCTTGTGCTTTAAGTTATCTTATTCAGTGACCTTAGCAGTGACGAAAGACACCCACTTGGACCTTGAACACATTGACTTTATCTAACCTTGCTCTCCAGAATATTTCGCCTTGTAGAGGTTACTCGGGAAAGACTGTAACTCCATCTAACTTGAACCTAACTGAGTTCTTCTTGTTATGGGCATTAGATTAGGGAAACGAGATTACACTCATGACTTCTTAATTCTTTGTATCCATCTTGCTGATCCTGAGTGGCTAGCTCATTCTTAGCTAGTTCCCACTCTGGAGCTTTAAACCATTATTTTGCCCTCATGCATTCTGTTTTAAGTGTCATATGTGCAGATATGTGCAAAAAGGCTGGAGAGGAAAGGATCGACAAAGCCCTCACTTATTTTGGCTACAGCATAAATTTCAGAGCAAGGGTGAATGTGATCCAAAAGGAAGAGATCAGCCAATAGAGTGGTCCCAACAGAAAAATGAAGAGGTGAAAGGAAAGCTGAAATCAGAACCTCCAGAGGCACACCATGTGTAATTACCTCTTTCTCGTTGTCATCATCATATGAACTCTTATTTAGTCAAAAAATCGAATTTAAATATCCTTTTAAAAGATGATGAGAGGGAGAAATAAAAAAGGAAAACAGTTCCCCTAGTTGGTCAGAGCAACGAGTGCCAAGATGGGAGTGAATAGTATAAACAAATGTGATCTAGAAATTGGAGAAACCAGTCTGAGAAAAGAAGAAAGAAGAGGAAAAAGAGTGGGGGTCTGTTCAGATCAATGGATCCATCTTCTCTTGCAATTTCGCACGACATCCTGCTCCCTCTGCAAAACAAAATGGTACACCCTAAACACTTTTAGCTCCACTTACACCACTAAACAACCTGTTCTAACACCTATCCCGTCCACCCTGAATAATGCCTGCGAAAAGAAGCTCACGCTGCTCTTAATTGAATGTAAAGAGTTTTGTCTGGAAAGTGTGACTTTTACAGGTTTTTCGTCTCCAGTAAAGGAACGTCAGGGAGAAGACTCCGGTTGAGGACTGCGAGTTTTTCTTCTCCTAGGATGGACGTCGGCGTCTTCGTCTGTCGAGTCGGCCTGGTCGCTCGTTTCCAAGTTGACCCTTTCGATGCCGTTGCCTTCGGTCTCCTGTTCGCGAATAGCAGATTTTTCCGATTCGTTCAGTGTCGTGTCAGGGTTTTCTTTCCCGGAATCCTTTTCCGGTACGTTTCCCTGATCGATTCTGGGACGATCCATAGGAGCGCCGAAATCGAGTCTCCTTCCGCGGATTTTGGTAGTTCCGCGGGGGCGAATCGCTTTGGTTCCCGCAGTTAGGGTTTCGAGCCGTTTTGCGAGCGAACCAATGAGCTTTTCCTGCTCTTCCGATTTTTTGTTAAACTCAGAAAGCATCTTTTCGACGGTCTCGGCGTTAGCGTTCGTAGCGTTGGCCGCAGACGCGTCTTTTGGTAGTGGTGTTTCAACGTTGTCGCGTTCGTTGCGAGTTTGGTTGTCACCAGTCATCGTTTCTTCGTTGGACATGTTGCGGCTACGGTGTAAGATAGATCCGACCCCCCCTCCTTCTAGCGCCAAACTGTGGGTGTCGAAATCCACCCACTGTCAAATAAATCGTAAAAAAGGAAACTTCGGGAAAACCCTAAGTTTCCAGAGGAACCGGCTATCTGCAGAGCCGCACAACGAAAAATAAGAAAACGATAACTTAGAATTTGAATGAAAATAAACGAAATAGAGAGCAAAGAGGTTCTTATTCCGAATCTGCGTAGAACTGGTACAAAAGAGTAGCCGAAAAGCTTNCTTCGGGAAAACCCTAAGTTTCCAGAGGAACCGGCTATCTGCAGAGCCGCACAACGAAAAATAAGAAAACGATAACTTAGAATTTGAATGAAAATAAACGAAATAGAGAGCAAAGAGGTTCTTATTCCGAATCTGCGTAGAACTGGTACAAAAG